CCTACAAGGGGCCAAATCAAATATTACCACCACATGGTATGTCTAAAGTAGAAAGTATGGCACAGCAGCCATGCAGCTCTGACAATCCTGGGCAATATTCTTTAGCAGAGAGGAGCCTTTTAATGGCAGCTCTTTCAAACCAGCCACAGAAGTCATTAAAAATTATTTTCACCATCCTAGCTTTGATAAGATTTTTTTAAATGGATGACTTTGCTGGAACAGTTACTCCCAGTGAGACAGAAAATACTGCCTTAGAAGTTTTCCTCTTATAAATAATTTAAACCGTAGAACGATAAACATCACCACTTAATCATTTTTGTTTTAATAAGCTTGAGAGGTTTTGAATATAAAATTGAATGAATAAATAACACAATATTAGAGCCTGAAGAAGACTAGATTATCATTACTTATTTTATGAACTCTAGAACCCTTCATTAGGAATATAAACTGTTGATCTCACGGAGGGAAGTCTTTGAAACGTGTTTATTTGAGTTCAACTCAGAGGTTGCAGCACTGATTACTCACTGTAGCTTGTAGGTCTTCCGGTATGATGGCTGATCATCATCAGAGTCTTCAGGCTCTTCTTCTACTGTGCAGCTCCTACAAGGTTAAAAACAACGAGAATCCATGTAGATTAGGGGTTACATTTCCTAAAATGTTTTAAAGGCTATAATAACATTTTGCAATATGTTTTTACAAATATGGCTTTAATCTTACAATAAATACAACTGCTTTAGGAGAATAAACCCACGTGTGCCGATATTTGTAGCTTACTGCTGATATTAAAAATGCTCCTTTATGAGTTTGATGCCATTTTTTCCCCTAAGAAAACTGCGGGGTGTCACTTATTCCCTTAAAAAATTTACTTGAACATAAATTAGAACTGCTGGCTCAGATTCAAAAGATAGCTGCTGGTTTTTCCAGAGAAAAAAATAAAATAAAAAGGCGGAAATCCAGGGGAGGTTTTGTACCTCTGGGATATTTGGCAGGGTGCAAATAAACTCGGTGTGATTAAATTCTAAAGTTTAACCATTAGCACCTTTTTAACACAGATAAATGTGTACATATCTTAAACATGGACATGTGAAGAACAATGCTATTAATTTAATAAAAAATATTATTTAACATGCCGGGGTCTTGACCCTCATTTTACAGGAATAAAAGAAATATATTGATAGTGTTATATTATTGTTTATGTCTAAATCAATTCTTAATAATTAGTAGGGCTGGGTAAAAAAAAAATCGATTTAATTAATTTTGAATTGATTCCTTTACATTTTTGCAAAATCGATGTCCAGGGAATGAGATTGATTCATTTTATAGTGACCCACGTGACGTTCACATTTCAATAAGCAGGAAAGATGCACTCAAGATGATTTCAAGCCAGACAGCTGCAAATATACCCAATAGGTTGACTGAAGATAATAACAAATGGGGGCTGACCAGAACACCCTGTAGTTGTTACAAAGCTGCAAATATGGTTTGTGCATTGAAGATAATGCAGCTCATGAATGTCTGCTGTGTCACTTCTGCTTGCTCGCGTGAGGCTTTACTTTTTCACTTTTCACAAACAAGTTTGCACTTTTGAGACAGTTTTGTTCACATCTCAAGTTTAAACTGTCTGATTTACAAGTTTGCACTTTGTGTTTAATATGACAGGAAAAAAAACACAGTTCATCCACTTTCATTATTGTGAAAACCGATCGAATCGAAATTAATCGATTAAGAACTGTATGAATCAAAATCGAATCGATTAAGGACTTTGTCTAAAATACAGCCCTAATAATAACAGAAATGAAAAACATCAGTGACCTATTCTCTACGAATAAATAAAGCTTATTCTGTTTTTTTTTTTTTACATTTTTGTTAAATAATCCAAAATGTGTTACCTAAACTGTGGATCTGGGTTCATGTGGCAGAACCATTTATCCGGCAGCTTGCTGACGTCGATCCCATCTGGAAGTTTTCGCCAACGCAAACAGGTATCGCACTGCACCCAGTTCTGATCCGGTCGCTTCCTAAAGAGTCAGCTCGTTTAGAAAAAAAATAAACAACTACATATAATGCTTTCCATATTTTTCTCTGGACTGTTCACTAACATGGTGTCCTCCACTGGTACGGTGCTGTTTGGGTCTTCTTTGGTCTTTCTGTAACGGATCTCATTCCAGTATTCCTCCAGTTTAACCCCCAAGCTGTTTATGGTCTTTCTGTTCAAGGAAAAGAAAAGCTTGTTGTACATGTTCAAAAATATCAAAGTATTGAGGAAAATTTTTTTAACAGTTTTCAGAGGCTCCACTGATGTTATTACCTGTATTTATCAGACTCGATGAAGCTCTGCTTGTTGTGAGTAGGATCCAGGAAGTTACACTCGATGACCCCAATGACTCCAACACCTTTTTTGTTAGCCTGATGATTAGAAGATACTTAAATATGCTGTTCAAACAAATATGTGAATTTTTTCCTCAATGCCTGACATTAAATTAAGCTATATTTCTGTTAGAAATATTTTATTTATACTCTTACTTTGTTTGTGTTTCATGGGTTGTGTTCTAATGAACTATTATGATGTATAATGTGTGATTCATCTTTTATTAACTCTTGCTTAAGATCGTTCCAGATAAAGGTCATGGAACGGACGGGTTGTGAAAAAAAGTCAGTAAAAAAGGATTACCCCAAATTATTTGCTATATGCCAGAACAATGAGGGAACATTCGATAATTGTGTTTTAACTTATTTTAAATTTAGAGGATCACATAAATTTTTTTTAGCATTTGGTAGAAATGCTTTCTTAACTGCATGACCTTTGTGTACATTCTGGGAATCTATAAGCGCCATTGCTTTCTAAAGAACTGCTTTAACCAGGTCTGGTTTGTAGGGTCATATTTGTTTAGTTCTGCTCAGAACTTTCCTGGTCCTGAGATCAGGATTTTATGATGGCTACCTTTTGTTGTCTGAGTAAACTGCCTCTTCAGTGGTTCTACAGGATGATACTCAGCAGTTTTAAAAATGCCAGAGCCCTGACTGGTGTTGAAAACCACTCTTTAAGCTCTTAAGTGGAGCTTAAATGTGATTTGAGTGGACACCTGTTCACAGATTGGCCATGGGTGTGCCCAGGCAAATAGGTAAACCACCATTTTAGCCTCTAATGTCAGCGAGCTAAAACAACATTAGCTGCTTCGAGCTCCTGCTAAGGTTCTCCATCCAGGGAACTCTGTCTCTATCCTTTAACTCTTTCAACCCACTTACTGAAATTAACTGTAGTTGTATTCCTATCCATGTTTTAATGACAATTTTAGATTATAGAATTGGAAAAAAAGTTGACAGAAATTCAAATGAGCGTTGAAAATCTCCCTCAGTTTTGCAAAAACAAGTTTTAATATTCGTTTAAAGTGATGGACCTCTATAATGACTGATCAGATCTTTCCTCCATGTATATGGCGCTCATCATCCTATGGCCCTTAGGGGATGGATGAGAAAAGCTTTTTTCTTTCTCTAGGTCTCTGAATGTAACATTGCAAAAATTAGTTGAAATTACTCAATTATAGCATGCCTGACAGCAACACTTCCCTAAAAAAAAAAAAACTCTCCATTTTGACTCATATGTGCGGTCCATGCTAGTTTGCAACCTCTACTTCCTCAGGGTTCCTACAGCATAAGGCACGTTAAATTCAAGACTTTTTAATGCCACTTGAAATAAAAATTTAAGACCAAATTCACAAGAAACAC